CCCTAGACCGGACGAAACCCCAGATCCAGTCAAGCTGTCAAGAGGGATCAGTGACGTTGAGGTTAAGTATCCCCTCAGTTGCGCGCTAATTTGGTGACTGGCACGGTCGGCTCGTGGATGTTACTTTACTGCACCGACTACGTTGTAATGGCTGACGCGGGAGGTTGACCTGTGGAAGCGCCGGAGACGACGCTCAAAAGAGGAGGAAGGCTATGTAATACGATAGTGGTTTATCCCTCGGCGCTAGTGAGGCACCACTCTTGTACTTTCAATTAGCCCCCTTGTACCTCGCTGGGTGGGCTGGCCTTTTGGGCCATGCCAATAGCCCAGACACCTTTCGTCTTCAGGGAGTCCCGGGACGCTACAGAACAGCATTATGGAGACAAAGTGGACGCCAGTCATAGCACCTAATCAGACATGACTGCGACTGCCTTTTGTGCCAACCCCGGGCACACGGCGGGATCAATGCCAACCCGGACAGATCGATTCCACGCGGTCGGCGAACATTTGAAGGGGTGTCACGCTGTACACTAGTATTCTCCCCTAAAACAGAAATTAAAAAAAAAATACAACCTACCCGACAAGAGTCTTCTGGAATAATGCTTTTTGTGAGGTGCACACATGGCCCAAATTAATACGACACAATCTCGAAATGATGAATCACATCTGGCGCAGATAGTGAATGCAATTGGGTCGTGGAAGGAAGCACCAAGAAAACGGATAAGTGGAATAGCTAATCAGGGAGCTACATGCTACTTAAATACGCTTTTGCAAACCTTACTACACACACCTGACCTGACAAGTGAGTTGGAATGACTTAGAGCACATCATGTACTCTCATCATGCTGTATTCCTATCTCAACAATTACTTATAGGTCGGCTTTTTTTAATGGCCAAAAAGACCGAAGTTACTCAACTCAAAAGGGTAAGCTGATTAATTCTTTGTGTTGTCTCATTTGTGTGTATAGATTTTACAAGAACTCTTGGCGCTTTTTTCAAACCTTTTACAAGGAGATGGTATTCCTGTTTCGGCCAAATTTCTGACTGACAGTTTTGGATGGAGCTCAGACGAAGTTGCAATTATTCTTCTTTGACACACCTTCCTAGGTGCTAATTCATCAAGATATTCAGGAACTCAACCGCCTATTATTTGAACAATTGGAAAATAACTTAAAAGACACTTCAGAAACGACTCTTATCAGTGATCTTTACAAGGGAGTTTTCAGAACAACAGTTTGCATTTTTAATTCTAAGTTTCTTAATGCCTTCTTTACTTACAGATCAAGTGTCTCACATGTGGCCAAGTTAGTGAGCGAAATGTGGGTGGGTTATATGGGCTGGGTTTGGCTAATACGGTCTAGGATGAATTTCAGGATGTTAATCTCTCTGTGTCTCACTGCGATTCTATCGAAGATGCTCTGAACTATCACACACAAACGGAGATGTTAGTTGGAGAAAACCAGTACTTCTGTGAAAACTGCAAGAGCCGAGTCAATGCCACCAAAGTGAGCCATGTCATGGTGTTTTTTCCTCTTTATGCCAACACTCGGTTGGCTGTAGTATGCGATTCGCCCTCTGCATTTTGGTCACTCATTTACCTTCGTTGTAAATTTTAATACTTAGACGAGCAAATTTACTGACCTGCCACCGATCTTAACCCTCTCACTGTCCCGGTTCTACTTTAATCCCAAAACTATGGAGGCCTGCAAATTGGACAAGATGTGCAGCTTTCCCATTCTCCTCGACATGACTACGTACTTGGCAAGCAAGCAAGCAGTGGTGAGTGATTTGTTTTTAAACTTGCCTAGTATAAAGACGGTTTTTGAAAATAACTGTTCTCTTTACTAGCCAGTTACCTACGACCTCTTTTCCATTGTTATTCATGCTGGCGCCGCTGCTTGTGGCGGTCACTATCACGCCTACATCAAAGACCCCTATGGATACATCGGAGATGAAGTAGATGACCATACTACTCAAAAGGTTAATCAAATATTTCCAAATTCACTTTAATCATTTTATAATGCTAATCATTAATCTGGCATATATTTAAATGGTCTTAATAGACTTCTTCTAAGGCGTTATTTCAACCTCTTAATTGAAATGCATAATATGGGGTGTTTTTTAATCCTTAATGAGTTAGACGAATCAAGAAAGTTTTAATGAATTCTGGCTCATTTAAGCGAACTCAAAAATGCTATATGCGTCTCACAAGCCTCGATAAAACTAGATTTGTGAATGCATTGACAAATAAGCTAAGGCTTAATTGAACGGTCAAATAATGCCCCTTACTTGGGTGACGGAGATTTGAACAATCTTAACCTTCTACATCCACCAAATTTTTCGAATGTATAATCTAGTGACACTTTGGAATTACAGCTGAAATTATCAAATGAGGCGCATTTTCTTAATTGCAGTTTCATCCATCCGACTTAAAAGGTGGGCAGAATTTGGAAGTCGAGCAAGTACAAACCAACACCAATCACTTCTTCGCATGCCATCAAAATGCAACCACACCTGTCAGTAATCCTGCAACACTGCGAACGCGAGTTCAATCGCAACAACGGCCTTTTGAGGCTTTTTGTAGGCACACAGAAAGGAGAAACATCTCTCCTCATCTCTCATCGGCTATTGATGCTCGCCCACCACCAGTACGAAAGTCGCCTCGACCATTTCAGCAGGCGGCGTTTTTGAACCGGCTAACAGGACCATCGGCTAATTTGAGATTTCAGATGCCCCCAGGTGTAGAGACTAGCCCTGCACCCTTCGTTTCCCGTGATAGCATTGATCGCGCAAGAAGCAGACGAAAGACACGTGTCGTTTCAACCTCACTGACATCAGCAGTGAACCCTAGTAGGTAAAATAATATGTGATATTTTGTAGTTATCTATGCAGGTAATTTTTGATAGATGAAGTAGTGAGGTATTCTCGTCAGCATTATTCATTTTCGACAGCTGATTAGTAGTGGTAATTAAAAAGATTCTTTTATCAAAACGCAAGAGGCCATTATCAGTTAATAATATGATTTACCAATTAGATCTGCTTACGCGTCTTTTTCATAAATCCGAATTTTCGTCCAGCCATTCAAAGTGATAAAATATTTTTTATATCCAGTGCGTCTGTGAGAGGCCAGTTTTCTGGTAAAGTGGGGAGCGAAACGCTTTCAACGAAGAAAAAGTCGATGACTTACAATAGACTGGTTGACAACATGAAAGCTAGCCTAGCTTCAACTCAGCGGTCAAGCGGAAGTGCTACCACTCCCTACAGCCAACAAAATGACTCCATTAATTATCCAAAAAGGAAAACAAATCGGCCAATTTTTGAACGACCAATTGGTAATGCTTTGTCAAATCAGCTAAGGAAAATGTCAGTGCAGCTCTTGAAATCGCCTTCTGGTAGCACAATAAATATTGACGTAAGTGAGAAGTCGGATCAGACAAGTAGCCTCTCCATGAAGAAGAAGATTATCACCACAAGTGGAAATAATGACGATAACTCAGCATCAAAGCAGCAAAGCACAGGAAGCCTCACGAAATCACAATCACAATGCTCGTCTTGTACGCCTTCGTGTAACACTGAAGCCTGGCGGTCAAGACTGTTCCGCCAGACACCCAAAAGATCGAAATCTTCTGCTTCTGAAATCGTTAAAACTGGAAATCTTTCAAAAGCATCAGTTGGAGTCTCTCCAACAAAGACATCCACCCCGGTGCTTGAAAATGACAAGTCCGTGACCCCAACGCCCGCACAGCAAATAAAGGACTCTTTTCTATTGCATAGATATCATAAGAGTGCTAATCTTGCAAGTGCCTCACAGAAAAGTGAACTGAGTGGTGAAGAAAGTCAAGAGAACTTACAAACACCATGTGAAGCGCTGAGGCTGACTCGTGATGGCGAAAATCCTGTTGTATATGGGAAGTGGTTCGACTTTAATGATGACGTAGTGAGAGAAGTTAGTTGCGAAAACTTCAAATACGTCTTCAAGGGGCTCGAGTGTGCCTACATGCTGTTCTATAGGAGAATCGGCCAACCGATAACTTAGTATCGTTCTACTTGCTGAATAAATTATGCATAAACGTGTGACTTTTTCATTTGACATCTTAAATATGTTTCTCTCTAAAAAGGTTCCAACATTAGCATCTTAAAAGCAAATCCTCAGTGCTACTAGAGAATGTTATTTCAAAATTCCTATTTTCGCTTACTATTCGGCAAGTACCAGAGAGAGAGAAGAGGGATACCGTTAGACCTCCACCCCCTGCATTCCCTTCTCTAGCCAAGTAGGTATATGGAGAGATAAAACTGGGGGAAAAGTGGAGGTGGCTAGGGCTGAGTCTGGTTGTCAGCTTCTAGAGACGATTTTGCACAATAGCGCGGTGCACTGCAGACTAAGAAATCTTTCTCCCAAGCGCACATATCTCATGTTTTGTAGATCCTTGGCAACTTTCCCCTCTATGACTAGGCAAACAAATGGCCTCAAGTAATGCACAAAAACCGATGAAATCTTACCATAAAACAGTAATAGGCAATTAGAGTTTGAAGTCTTTCTCAATATCTTCAACTTTGGAGTGTAGTGTATTCTCTAAAAGAAAAGTAGTTTAGTCAAAACCATGACATTGTTTTGACCGCGTCTACTTCGTGATAGCGTTTATTCTACTCCAAATGGCGCGTTTTGTAGTCATTTTGGCCAAAACTAGCACACGGATAGACACTTGATGGGATGCGCTTTTTTTTCCTTACATAATGAACTGCAATTTTATTTTTTCGTTGTTTACACTACTGTTTAGTTTGTCTCCAGAGGAAAAGGTAGATCATGTAATTGGAAAAGACGCTGCCGATATTTGTGAAAAGAAAATTTCACAATTGATTAATCCAACATCCAGATAATTTATTATTCGAACCTTCAGATCCCATTACTGTACCTTTTGCAATCATTGACTGAGGGTTGCCTTTTTGACAACCTTATCGAAATGGTCTCAGAAAGCGTTTACACTTTGCAAGTGATAGTGTGAACTTGATAACGGTACTGTTGGACAACCAACCCGACCCTAATGCGGACTGCGTTTCGACCTGGCACATTTATTCACCAATCCTATCTAATGCTTACAACGCTTTACTTATTGATACAATTTGCTCAAGGTTGGTGGAGGCAAGAGAATGAAGCTTTAAGGTGATTCCCTACTTGACTTTAGTCCACGCATGTGAAACCCTAGCTAAGGTCATTCCTGAATTGTTTATTTCCAAAATTGGAGTTAATAAGGCCACCCTCTCATTTCATCCATCAGAATACCTTATAGTGGTTTAAACAGGGGTACATGAAGGAAGGCTAATTGACTTTATATTATTCGGTTTCAAAAGGAGCGGCAGGATGGTTGATGAATTGCAGTTCAGTGAGCCTTAAGTGGCACCTCTTTCTCTCCAATCACGTGACTGCAAATCCTTTAACAGATATTCTTTCACAAATCTTATCGAATAAAAGTGTGCTGGACAAATGTTTGACTAGTAGAAATATTTCCTACTAAGGTAGTATCCTAAAGCAGCAAAATGTAATTGAAATTGTAGGAGTTAAGTTCGAGGTCAGAAGTAATTCACGCCGCCTCCTTTGTTGAAACATTTCATATTATATCATCGTTACATATGAACCGTCTACAAATTATAGAATACGGAGTTATTTGTTCTTTATTTTCCATTTCCCATAGAGTGGAATCAACAACCTGAAAGTTTCACCATTTATAACTTTCAAATAACCAATTGCTGCTCAAAGCAAGGAGGCCCTATCAAATCACACCAATTTTTAAATAAGGGCCAATAGACTATGACGGGGTGAAGGCGACATGTTGTAAAACACCAACAAATGCACCACTTTGCTTTATATCTTACACACGCTCCTCGATGCGCACCGAGTCAGGCAGTATTTCGTCATCACCACCGCCATTCACATCAGGGCCTATTTCCAAACTGGAGGTAGAAGGAGAGAAATCAGTGAAGGATGGAAATGTTGGACTCAGGGATCGAAATGCCTGTGTCAAATTTCTGGCCAATAATTGGTTTATGCTTGCTACCATTGGTGGGGTCTGTTTGGGATTCGGCTTGGGCTTCATTGTCCGAACCACGCAACCCGGAACAACTGCCATCACATGGATTGGTAAGGATCTTAATTATGCAAATTTGTTACATTTCAAAGCCTTTTAGATTATCTACCAGTTTCCTTTATACCTCTGCTTAAACATGTTTAGGTCCATAAGACAGAAAATATTTTCTTCATTTTTCACAAACTCATCCTTTCTGAATGTTCTGTAAGTTAATATTAGCAATTATCAATCCAAGGAAAGAACAAATAAAATCCCATTCCGTTGGTGCTTTTTTTATGCTCCAAGCTTAATTTAGTGTCTCGACAAGAGTGAACGCAAATAAAAAGAGTTGATTTATGGGTCTACACATTTACTACTTAGCTATTACTTAGTCAAGAACTAAAATTGTATGATTATCAATTGCGCATAATAAAAATGTGAACAGTTTAAAGAATCCCGCCTGGATACTTAGTTCACGTGATTTTTTTCCTCCCAGCCATGCCATCTGATATTTATCTCAGGCTTCTTCAACTTACCATCTTACCTCTAATTTCCTCCAATATTCTAATTGGTGAGTTGATATGTACAAAAATATGTGTATTTCATACATTTACGGAAGATTGGAAGGTATATTAAAATAAACTGCCCAATATTTTAAACTAAGAATGGTTTTCGATATGATGGTGGCACGATTTCTTGATAAAACGATTCATACATGATGAAACAAAATTAACCAAATATGTTGTACGGCCCTGCGGTTTCCTTAAAGACGAAGGAATATAAAACACTCGGGCAGAGTAGGGATTGTTGACATACAGTAGGGGCAGGGACTACTGGCACGGCCTGGAGGCCAGGTTGCAAGGCGGAGTTGTAATGGCGGAGCCCCAAACAAACGGTCCGTTGCCAAAACCGGGCGTTAAACAAACAACTACCGTATCACAAAATAAGCATGGAACTCACGAATTCGCTATGCCCAGAATTATTAGTAAATGTAGTCGTATTTGCCCAATAAATAGCCTCTCCCAGTAACAATGAGAAGTGAAAAATTATAGATGAATCTTTCAAGAATCCTAGAGGAAACACTTAAGTGGGGAAGTATCGTTGCCATTATGCTATACCTTCGTAATATTCTTCGTCTTCTTCAGCTTTTGCAACGTTGGATTTTAAAAAGGATGGAAAAGTGGGAATCATCGGGATTTTATACATTTTTGCGCTCAACTTGGTTTGTGCAGTTATCGGAGCGGTGTGCGCGCTACTCATTCAACCAGGTATCCTTTTCTTGTTAAGGTTTTTTACCAATCCGGATCGAATAAGCTAGAACGGGCAAAAAAGCACTCAATTTGCAATCGGTTTAAGCTAGCAATTGATAGTAATGATTATGAAAGAAGTAAAGTATTGAATGTATGGCTTTATTCTCTAAATCTACTATAACCTTCCAATATTTAAAGCCCATGTTAGTTTATCCAAATAGATATTCTGTCTATGTAACGGTTGCGCCAAGTGGAGACAGAAAGAACCAGATGAGGTGAAAAACACGTCACTTGGTGTAAACTCTACCACCACGTTTATGCAATCAGAACAATGTCTTGGCATTGCTTGACCAATTTTTTCTGCTAAGGATTGAGCCACACTCTAAAGTTAAAGATAATAAAAGAGACTTCTAATATTAGTTGTCTACTACTGTTTAATGGTAAAATTTTATCGGTTTTTAAGTTGCCTAGAGATACTTGTTTGCGTAGTCAGGACGAGAAAAGTGAAAAGAAGACTTATTAGCAAAGAAGATATAAGATTAAAGGCTTCTTTTGCACTACTACTGATTAACCGTTTTAGGTAGTAGAGTATTAGTCGGCAATACGAATGAGAGCGCTCCACTTTCCACGGCATCCGGACTCACAGCATCGGACGTCTTTAGGGACTTGTTTTAGTGAGTTAATTATTATGCAGTTTTTAAAAAAATCAAATGAATACAGAAGGCTTCTCATTTAATTCAACTTTAGTCATTGAAATAATAACCACTTCTGAC